CTAACTCCCATTTCTTATTGACATTTCTTATTGAAATAACTGATCTTCGTGCTATCGGACCTTTATTTTGAATTCGATAATTTTCACAAAAAAAAAAAATTCGACATATTTTGTTTATTATTATGAGAATTAATCCTACTACTTTTGGTTCTGGGGTTTCCACGCCTGAAAAATAAAACCTAGGCCATATCATCCAAATCATCAGTCCGGTACTAGATGTAGCCTTTCTGCCGGGCAAGATGCCTAATATTTATAACGCTCTGGTAGTTAAAGGTCGAGATACTATTGGTCAAGCAATTAATGTGACTTGTGAGGTACAGCAATTATTAGGAAATAATCGAGTTAGAACTGTAGCTATGAGTGCTACAGATGGTCTGATGAGAGGAATGGAAGCGATTAACACAGGAGCTCCTCTGAGTGTTCTGGTTGGTGGAGTGACTCAGACGAATTTTCAACGTGCTTGGAAAGTCTATTGATAATTTAGGTCCTGTAGATATTCGTACAACATCTCCTATTCATAGATCTGCACCTGCCTTTATATAGTTAGATACAAAATTATCTATTTTTGAAACAGGAATTAAAGTAGTAGATCTTTTAGCCCCTTATCACCGTGGGGGGAAAAATCGAACTATTTGGAGGAGCTAGAGTTGGTAAAACGATACTCATTATGGAATTGATTAACAATATTGCCAAAACCCGTGGGGGCGTATCCATATTTGGCGGAGTGAGTGAACGTACTCGTGAAGGAAATGATCTTTACATGGAAATGAAAGAATCTGGAGTGATTAATGAAGAAAATATGGCAGAATCAAAAGTAGCTCTAGTTTATGACCAGATGAATGAACCACCTGGAGCTCGTATGAGAGTTAGTTTGATTGCCCTAACAATGGCGGAATATTTTCGAGATGTTAATGAACAAGACGTACTTCTATTTATCGACAATTTCTTCCGTTTCATCCAAGCAGGATCCAAAGTATTGGCCTTATTGGGTAGAATGCCTTCCGTTGTCAGTTATCAACCTACCCTGAATACTGAAATGGGTACTTTACAAAAAAGAATTACTTCTACCAAAGAAGGGTCCTTAACTTCTATTCAAGCAGTTTATGTACCTGCAGACGATTTGACCGACCCTGCTCCTGCTACGACATTTGCACATTTAGATGCTACTACCGTACTATCAAGAGGATTAGCTGCCAAGGGGATCTATCCAGCAGTAGATCCTTTAGATTCAACGTCAACCATGCTTCAACCTCGGATCGTTGGTGAGGAACATTACGAAACTGCGCAAAGAGTTAAGCAAACTTTACAACGTTACAAAGAGCTTCAGGACATTATAGCTATCCTTGGGTTGGACGAATTATCCGAAGAGGATCGTTTAACCGTAGCAAGAGCACAAAAAATTGAGCATTTTTTATCACAACCATTTTTTGTAGCAGAAGTATTTACCGGTTCTCCAGGGAAATATGTTGGTCTAGTAGAAACCATTAGAGGGTTTCAATTGATCCTTTCCGGAGAATTAGATGGTCTTCCTGAACAGGCCTTTTATTTGGTAGGTAATATCGATGAAGCTACCGCGAAGGCTATGAACTTAGAAATGGAGAGCAATTTGAAGAAATGACTTTAAATCTTTGTGTACTGACCCCTAATCGAATTGTTTGGGATTCAGAAGTGAAAGAAATCATTTTATATACTAATAGTGGTCAAATTGGCGTATTACCAAATCATGCCCTTATTGCTACAGCTGTAGATATAGGGATTTTTAGAATACTCTTTAAGGACCAATGGTTAACGATGGCTCTGATGGTGGTTTTGCTAGAATAGGAAATAATGAGATCGTTATTTTAGTAAATGATGCAGAAAAGGTTAGTGACACTGATCCACAAGAAGCTCAGAAAACTCTTGAAATAGCCTAAGCTAATTTGAGAAAAGTTGAAGGAAAGAGACAAATAATTGAGGCTAATCTAGCTCTCCGACGAGCTAGGACAAGAGTAGAGGCTGTCAATGTAATTTCCTAACTAGTTGGTGCATTCAAATAATCAAAAAAAGTTCTGTTTCTAAGCCTATTTTGGTAGGATTCTGTCGAGGGAATCCAATCAAGTAGAATCCTATTTTGCCACAACAAAAATAAAGTAAATAAAAAAGATACAAAATCAATAAAAATAAAAGAGGGAGGGTCGACATACTTATTTGGTACCATTGACTACGGTATCTAATAAGTTCTACCTGCTATTGAATTTGAACTAATGACTCCCGTTGTATGAAAACAATACTCTAACCACTGAGTTAAGTAGGTCATTTATCATCCCTAAGATGACCAAATGGAATCCATGCCATCAATGGACTATAAATATCATATTACTTATGAGCAATAATAATACAAGCAATACCACTCAAAAATGGAGGATGTTGGATTATAGAATATTCATCTTGACAAGAAATTATCTACATGATAAAATATGTATCACAAGCAGTAAGGGCTATAGTTCAGTTGGTAGAGCACCTTGTTTACACGCGTCCCAATGTTTTTCAGGGGGATCCATCATACAATCAAAAAAATGTATCTTTTTGAGAAATCGATGTCTTACTCCATAACTGTGAGGGAACAATAGCCTGACAAATGGTTCGATCTGACTTTGGTGCCCATTTAGGTACCAAACAGACCCCATAGATTGATTTGAGATATTGATAAGGTCAATACCAGTTCATTCAATGCTAGGCATAATGAGTATAAGGTCCTCAAAAAATCTCTTTTTGTCCTATGAACTTTAAGGTGTATGAAGTTTCATATTTTATCTTTTAAGTCGAACGATAGAGACTTCATTTAACTTAGGTTGATCTAGGCTAGAGGCAGACCTACGTCAAGATAACCCCACCTTTGAAACACTTTGGTAGTGCTCTGGATCATAATCCCAAATAATGAATTAGAGCACATAGAGTCATCTTCTTAATCTTATTTTGAAAAATATGGCAGACCAGCTGATATTTCTATCAGTTAATGAAAGAGCCCAAGGTGTAAAAAAAAAAAAAAAAAAAGGGCATGTTGGGTCTTTGAAACAATTTAGATCATTTTGATAACAATAATTTTGATATGTTTTATCAAGAAGGTCTACGGTTCGAGTCCTTATAGCCCTAGAGCCCTATAAAATAAAATGAAAATGAAAAATAGAAAATATTCTAATTTTCATTTCTTCATTATTGTTTCTTGCTTGTAACTGACAGGTTGGGTTAGTTCATCGCAATCAAAATTATTTCTATAAACTCACTCATAGGAATCGTTCAAAGCAGAACAGAAAACTAAAAAAAAAAGGATCGAATCAATATTTATTCAATCGTGGATAAACAAACCAACCTTTCGTCATTAATCTTCAGAGATAAATTCCATATGAATTTACCTGTCCACAATCAAGGGGTTAAGTTAGTGATATTCCTTTTGTTTGGTATACCTAATCCTAATGAATTTAGAAAGTCAAAATCAAGACACGAAACCGATTAAAAACTTAAAAGAGTAATTCAAATAGATCTAGGGAATGACATGATCTATTTGTGGACAAGCCACAGTTTGTTGAGAAAGGAATCTCTTTGGTAAGTTTCATTGTCAACAATGTCAAATAGGCTTTTTCTTCCTGTACCTTACCTAGACCTATCGAAGCACAAAAGGGAAGGTATTCTTTTTCTGTATTCAATCAAAAGAAACCCTTCTAATAAAAAAAAGAAAAGGAATATACCAATATTAAGATATTAGAAATCAAAATACATATCCTTTCTCTTACATTTGAATACTTGTTCTATTCGAAATCACTAAGAAAAAAATGACAAACTCCAGATTCTATTCCTAAAAAAATATAGAAATCTCTAAAGAATTTAGAATAATATATATAATTTTAAAAATAATAAGTTAGAAATTCTAAACAAAAAATAAGAATTCTATTTTCTTTTTATTTCGAACTAGCTTTCTTTAGCAAGAATCCTAGGTGAAAACAAGAGAATTTGTATATAAGGAATAGTTAGAGCTATACTAACTAAATAAAATTGAAATAAAAAAGAAATAAAAAAGTGTATACTAGAAATAGGATTCCAGTCAAGTCAGTCGATGAGTCTTGAAATGAGATATGCCTCGCAATAAACAAAGGAAACTAGATGGTTTGGTCAAAATGAATTCTTGTTTTGACTAAACAGTTATGGACGACTTAACAATTTCAAATCGAATCGACCCATCCGGTATATTTTCCACGTTCATAGGAGTGCGTCTATGATTTTGCTTTACGAATATTATATTTTTTGGGCATTTCTAATAATATCAAGTCTTATTCCTATTTTGGCATTATTCATTTCTGAGATTTTAGCCTCGATTAGGAAAGGGCCGGAGAAACTTTCTAATTATGAATCGGGTATAGAACCCATGGGCGACGCTTGGTTACAATTTCGAATCCGTTATTATATGTTTTCTCTCGTTTTTGTTGTTTTTGATGTTGAAACAGTATTTCTTTATCCATGGGCAATGAGTTTCGATGTATTGGGCGTATCTGTATTTATAGAAGCTTTAATTTTCGTGCTTATCTTAATTGTTGGTTTAGTTTATGCATGGTGAAAGGGGGCATTGGAATGGTCTAAGCTCCTGAATATTCACACAATAAAAAGAAAAAGGAAAAAAAAGATTGAAAAAGTTATGAATTCCATTGAGTTTCCTTTACTTGATCAAACAGTCCAAAATTCAGTTATTTCAACTACGTTAAATGATCTTTCAAATTGGTCAAGGCTCTCCAGTTTATGGCCGCTTCTCTACGGTATCAGTTGTTGTTTTATTGAATTTGCTTCACTAATAGGATCACGATTCGATTTTGATCGTTATGGATTAGTACCAAGATCGAGTCCTAGACAAGCAGATCTAATTTTAACAACTGAAATAGTAACAATGAAAATGGCACCCTCTTTAGTGAGATTATATGAGCAAATGCCCGAACCAAAATATGTTATTGCTATGGGAGCCTGAACAATTACAGGAAGGATGTTTAGTATCGATTCTTACAGTACTGTTCGGGGAGTCGATAAGCTAATTCCCGTGGATGTCTATTTGCCAGGTTGTCCACCTAAACCGAAAGCAGTTATAGATGCTATAACAAAACTTCGTAAGAAAATATCTCAAGAAATCTATGAAGATAGAATTAGGTCACAACAAGCAAATCGGTGTTTTACTACCAATCACAATTTCATGTTGGACGCAATATGAATACTGGAAATTATGATCAAGGATTCCTTTATCAACAGCCATCTACTCCAGAGATCCCTATTGAAAACTTTTTCAAATATAAAAATTCAGTAGCTTCTCACAAATTAGTGAATTAGATAGGATTCCTTTGTATTGTACAGAATAACAAGTAGCGGGTGAATCTTCATAAATTTGATCGAGAATGTGAAATATTCTAACTAAAAATGTCGGAGATAAAAAAGATGCAGGATCGTTTGTCTGCTTGGCTAGTCAAGCATGGGCTAATTCATAGATCTTTGGGCTTTGATAATCAAGGAATAGAGACTTTACAAATAAAGCCCAAGGATTGGCATTCCATTGCTATCATTTTATATGTATATGGTTGCAATTATCTACGCTCCCAATAAGTCTATGATGTAGCATCTAGTGGACTGTTAGCTAGTGTATATCATCTTACAAGAATAGAGTATTGTGTGGATCAACCAGAAGAGGTATGCATAAAAGTATTTGCCTCAAGGAGGAATCCTAGAATTTCGTCCGTTTTCTGGGTTTGGACAAGTGTAGATTTTCAAGAACGAGAATCTTATGATATGTTGGGAAACTCTTATGATAATCATCCACGCTTGAAACTATCTTAATGCCTAAAAGTTGGATAGGATGGCCCTTACGTAAGGATTATATTGCCCCCAATTTTTATGAAATACAAGATACTCATTGAATGATAAGAAACTAATTTCCACTTATACAATTTCAGAGATTCAAGGATTGTACTTTCGGTTCTAGATTAACCAGAATAATTCTAATTGAAGTTTCGTTTATACATTTCTATTAGGAATTATGGATAGGCTAACAAAAAAAGACAGAATTGGGGGTTCGTTGGGAATTCTTACATTTATTTGGAAGCTACTTATTTCGTGTGAGTTAAGCCAAACCAATAGGATAAATCAAACGCATTCTGCATCAGGAACTTTGTACTTCGCACATTACTTAGACCGGTTCTAGAAAGTCATGTCGAGACAAATAAAGAAATCGAATATGAAAGATAAAATACAAACAAATGAAAGGGTATCAGATTTTCTTTATTTTTATGGTATTTGAACCGAATCTCGTCTCTTTCAACTTCGAATTTTTAGTCTTTCAACCAACTAATTGAACTTTTCAAATATGTGTGAAATATTAATAGATTTTTTGAATGAAAGAAAAAAAAAGAAAATAGAATTTAATTCTTTCAGATACTTTATTTAAAAAACTCTACCCATCTATTTTATAGATGGGGTATATCTCGCTAAGATACATAAAGGTATGTATTAAGATCTAGATTGGAAATGAATATGCATCTCGATTCATATCAATTACTTTCTAATTGAGAGACTCATACAAATGAATCATGTGCCAGGAACCAGATTTGAACTGGTGACACGAGGATTTTAAGTCCTCTGCTCTACCAGCTGAACTATCCCAACCATTCTCAATGTGACATCCCATCCTCATTTTATTAGATAACTGGGGTCTATGTCAACTAAAGGGACAAGATGGGATTTCAAAATTTTCTCCAAGTCCTGGAATTTCTTGGATCTTCAAAAAGACGACTTTGTAAATTTCAGTATGAGTAATGATATTGACTGTGAATCATTCAAATGGGGATTCCTTGCTTAATTTGGATGTGTATTATATATCACATGTGAGAAGAGAAAATCATTTACGCTCAAATACATTTATAGAGTGAATGAAAAAGATAAGGAATTTGGAACCGCTAATGAAAAAGGGATAGGATAAATATTTGGGGAGTCAAATAGGCTTTTTGGGGATAAAGGGACTTGAACCTTCACGATTTTTAAAGTCAACGAATTTTCCTTTTACTATAAATTTCATTGTTGCTGGTATTGACATGTAGAATGGGACTCTATCTTTATTCTTGTCCGATTAATCAGTTCTTTAAAAGATCTATCAGACTATGGAGTGAATGATTTGATCCATGAATATTCGATTCTTTCTTCAATGTGAACTCAATTCTTCCATTTTTCATATAAAAAAATACAGATAGAGATTCGAGTCGTCATTAATCATTTGATATAGTATTCAATATATACGTTTATCCTTCATCCTTTCGGGAAGTTTCAATGGAAAGATTCCTCTACCAACGCAATCCACTCCATTTGTTAGAACAGCTTCCATTGAGTCTCTGCACCTATCCTTTTTTCTTTCTGAACCTTTGTTTTGGGAAAATAGGATTTGGCTCAGGATTGCCCATTTTTATTAGTTCCAGGGTTCTCTGAATTTGAAAGTTACCACTTAGTAGGTTTCCATACCAAGGCTCAATCCAATTAAGTCCGTAGCGTCTACCAATTTCGTCATATCCCCCTTCCCTTTGTTTTGAGCTAGGATTTCATTGTCATGTCATTCCTTTTTTTCTTTCATTTATACTGGAACCCTTGAATTGATTAGATACTGACTACTGTCTCCAAAAAAAAAAGTATTTTCCCTTCTTTGATTTCTTCCTTATCGAAAACTCGTATTTGATTCAATCAAATTGGATTTTATCATTTTTGTATCAGCGATTCAATATAGATGGATATATACCCCATATATATGTCTAGTATTTTCCCTTCTTTGATTTCTTCCTTATCGAAAACCCGTATTTGATTCAATCAAATTGGATTTTATCATTTTTGTATCAGCGATTCAATATAGATGGATATATACCCCATATATATGTCTCTCTTCCTGCCACTTTTCCCATGCAATTTGCAATACTGGAACAGTCGATTCTTCTTTTTTTGTCTTTTCTTTCCCCTTTACAAATGAAAGTGGAGGAATGTTTGATTAGTTCTAATCGATCAAATAATTCAAATTCGAAAGAATTAATAGAATTCGAAATATAAAATAGAGAAGTGTAACAAAAAGAATTTCAAATGTCATGTGAATTCAAACAAAAATGAAAAAGAAAATTTGACTATCTAAAAATATTTAAGATTTACTATACTAATAATATTAGAATTGTGATAAAGAAATCGAAATTTTATATCACTATATTAATGGTTATGTTTTAGAATATCTAATATTTTTTTGAAATTCTATATTCTATCATTTCTATATTTTATAGACACTATAGTGTAGAGTATTGAATTCCTATGGATAAAAAGTTTCTATTATGTGGGCCTGCTTAGCTCAGAGGTTAGAGCATCGCATTTGTAATGCGATGGTCATCGGTTCGATTCTGATAGCCGGCTTTTCCTTCATTTTTTTTACTCAATTTTTTAATAATTGATAATGTCCCTTTGAAATCAAAGAATATTGAAAAAGTGTCTAACTAATAAAAGGCCTAAAGTCGGACGTGATCTTGAAAACCAATCACGTTCTCGGGAAAAAATCTCAATATCGTATTCGTCTAGAAGAAAAACAAAAATTGCGTTTTCACTATGGTCTTACAGAACGGCAATTACTTAAATACGTTCGTATCGCCGGAAAAGCCAAGGGATCCACAGCTCAAGTTTTACTACAATTACTGGAAACGCGTTTAGATAACATTATTTTTCGATTGGATATGGTTTCGACATATTAATTTCAAGATTTTTAAGCAAATATTTTGATATCTTTAATTTTTTAAAATTAAATATTAATAAAAAAATTACTATAATTTAAAAAAATAAAAAAAAACTTATATAACACTCCGTGCACGGAGTGTGCAATTTTTTATTTTTTTTTAATTATAGTAAAATTTTTATTAATATTTAATTTTAAAAAATTAAATATAACTAAATATTTACTTAAAAATGTTAAATTAGTATTTTTTATCTATAAGTAACTTTTACAATTATAAGTTTTTTATTACTTTTATATAATTTGAAGTGATTTTTTTACTTATAAGTAACTTTTTACATTCTAGATAATATAATCTTTTTATTAATATTTAATTTAAAAAACTAAATATATCTAAATATTTATACTTAAAATATGTTAAGTTAATATTTTTTTACTTATAAATAGGTTTTGCAATTATAAGAGAATAAGGAATTAATATTTCTTTTTGCCTATAAGTAGCTTTTACAATTATAAGTTTTTTATTACTTTTAAATAACTTGAAGTGTTTTTTTACTTGTAAGTAACTTTTTATATTCTAGATAGTGTAATATTTTTATTAATATTTAATTTATAAAACTAAATATATCTAAATATGTATACTTAAAAATTATAAGTTAATATTTTTTTACTAATAAGCAGCTTTTACAATTATAAATTTGTTTTACATTTAAATAACTTGAAGTGATCTTTTTAGTTATAAATAACTTTTTACATTTTAGAATTAAAGAATAACTTTTATGTATAAAATTATTTTAGAAAATATTATTACTAATAAAATTATAGGATATGGTCGATAGTTG